ATTCAGCTGGTTCGGACCGGTTCGGGCGAACCGGTAGTGGCGATCTGTGGGTGGCAACTGCCCACCCGCCCCGTCTCTATGCCGTCTTATTTAGGCACATTTTCTAAGCTGCGCACATGCATGCAATCTGTGCCCATGAGCAAAGCACATAGGTGGAGGGCATGCACGCACACAGTTTTGGTGCTTGGTGAACTGGTGGTAAACGCATGTGAAACCCACCTCTGGAACCAAGGCCTCATTATGTCAGAGATTCTGGGAAGGAATACTTGCAAAAGAGAAGAAAAGGGGAAAATGCCTGAAACAGATTTAGCCATTCCAAATGTCTTTCGAAAATTTTGCTCTACATTTTGGGAAGAGAACTTAGGTAGTTGATTTCCCAGAATTTTTCAGCATAAGGGAAAACTCCCAATAAATTCTCAAGTGCAATAATATCCCTTCATACCAGTATAAAGATTAAAATATTGCCTAAAGGAGAAGTTCTCTCATAAGGGTTTCTCCTGATAAATAGGAAAAACTAGGGAGGCTACAAACCAATGGATATCTCAACTATTGGTGAGATGATTGCACAATGAAAGATAAGATATTAATACATCATAACTATATAAGTGCAATAATACATTCCATTTAAGTGATAAGCACTTCTGATAAGCACTTCTATATAAGTGCTTATCAGACGTTCTATTGGAAATGTTTTAAAAGATAATTATCTCTCATAAAACTGGAAGAAAAAAATTGCAGAATTACTTGCTCTGGCACTAATTTAACACACTGTAGTTCCTTTTTGTTGTTGTTTATATAAAGTTTCTCAACTCAACTACCTCATAATGTAAGCTAGAGAACATAAACTTTTCCCCACTAATAATATGAAAGGGCTTAACCCTTAGAATAGACTGAAGAAGTAATCTTTTTTATACAAAGAAAGATATTTAATAGAAAACATATTGCTAAAAAAATCAGAAAAGGTCAGAGACTTAAATATAAACATTAAAAAAGACTGAATTCAGGATCCTTTGCTAGGCAACAGATTCTTTACTAACATTTTCCCTTTCTTACTTTGTTACCAACTAAGCTTTGTTACTGAGTACAATGGAACTAACATGTCATAATAAAAGTTCAAATATGATTTTATTCTCAAGGCTGGTGAGGCAGCTGAAGTAGCCGTAGCGATGTTTCAAGAGTACTGTTATCATCACAAGTCGCACCTTATATTAATAATTTTTTAACAGTATGCTTTGATCACTTCCTCCCCTGTTCTGTTTTTCTACTAAAACCTTTACAAATTCTACACAATTATTTCTCAACACCTTTCTTGAACGTCCTCAAATATGTTCTCTTTCAGATGAAATCACATTTATTTAATTAAGACCTAGGCTTGTGCTACTCTTAAATAAAGCAGATTTCACTCTCAGATTTGCAAATAATTAATCAAAGTGGCCAATTTTATCTTAAACAACTAAAAGGTTTCCTGGTTTATGGCACCATTATTAACATACGTTTAATAAGCAGTTAATGAAAACCAGCTCCAGTAAAACATTTGTTAAGATAATTTATCTTAGTTCAAAGTTAGGTGATATTGTTTTAAAACAATAGTTCAGAGGCATTTGTCATTTAGCAATACATTCTTAAAATGAGTATTATCCCATCAAGCAGCTGATAGAATTCAAAACATATGGGAGCCCATTTGTTTCTCCTGGAAAAAAAATATGGCTTACTGTGTCATGTTATTATTGTGCCAGTTAACAGCAATCTGAATCGAGCCCAACTTGACCAATTGAACTTATTTTGTCTGTTCCATGGCTTTGTAATAATTATCCTTATTGGATTTTATGATTGGAAACAATAGAAAGACAAACACATCTGTAGGTAATCTTAAATTTCTATAAATTAGGGGAAATGGTTGGGAAGATGGAATTTCAGTGCACTCCAATGTACGCACATACTACTGTGCATAGATTGGAGGAAGAAAATCATGATATGAGATCTTTCAAAAAGAGTTTGAAATTGCAGGGGTGTCCAACTGGTAGCCAACGGGGTGGATGCGTCACATGTAGGCCATGCCCATCCAGCTCCATGAAGGAAAAAAAACATCACGATACATCACATGATGGCAACGTGACACAGCAAGTTTGACACCCGTGTACTACTTTTCTACACTGCGTTCTTTTGCTTCCCATTCTCTTCCATTAACAATAATAACACAAGATGATACTTACTTGAGGACCAGGTTGACCCTGTATAGAAAAGAGAGAGAAAAAGAAAGAACAATTTTAAACAGCAAACCCCCATTTTTTAAAAAAGCATAAGAGCTTTAGCTTTCTAACAAGACAACAATGCAATGATTTTGACACTCTATTTCAAAAACATTTGGTTGAAATTCCAATTGCAAATTTAGTCAAAGGTAAAATATCCCCAACCATAATGACAAAATTATTTCAACAAAATAATGCAAGTTAGGAATGTTCTGTGTGGAGGAACAAGGTCATGTTATTTTCACAATGCGCTGCTAATGATCTATATAAAAGCATATTAATAAAGTAGCATTATTGTTTTATAATTAGATTTCAGTAAACCAGCTTCAAAGTAATTTCTATAAACCTTATTCAAAATCCAAAAACAGCGACCACCAAATCCTTAACTGCAAATACAATACAATAATTAATCTTCAAAGAAATTCCAGCCCTTGGGGTGGGGGAGCAGAAATATTAATTGGCTTTTTCGCTCTGCAGATCTAACAAATTGCTGGGAATATATTTTTTTTTAAATAGCTATTTTATACTTCAGTTAATATTTTTGTCCATCCAAAGTACATTGCTTTCAAAATTGTCTTTCCATATTAGTTCATATTGTAATTTTAAAAATATGACTGCATACAGTATGTTGTTGAATTTGAATACTATACTGTTACTTTTATTTTATTTATGTTACTTATAGGCTGCTACAATCTGAGGGGCATACAAATATATTATGACAATCATACATTTCTTTGAAATTATCAAAAGCAGGAGAAGAAAGCAAAAGAGACTGCAATGTTCAAATAATTCTGCACATTTTTCTCATTCTTCAAAATGGGCTTACGATTGCAAGTGATTCCATTACTTAGTTTCTTTCATATTTTTTTCTCAGATCACCAATAAGCATTGTTGACTTATGTTTGGAGCAGTGGTGGGTTGCTAACCGCTTTACTACGCAGAAGCATCCAGGCGGGTGGGTTAAGCCTTCCGCCACTGCCACTACTGGTTTGGCTGAACAGGGCTGAACTGGGAGCAACCCACTTCTGGTTTGGAGTGTATAGAGCATGGCAATTGAAATGTATTACTATTTTTTAAAAAAACAAAAAAACACCCCACTTTCTAGACATAAGCAAATATTTAACTGCCAAGACACCAAAATGATGAGATGTGTGCTATGAGGAAGCCCTGCCCTCTAGCAATGCTCTATGAAAGTATGTAAGGAGCAGAGAGGCATACATTTTGCTTCGTGAATAACATCTTTTACCCCCTATGGATGCCCATTTCTACCTTGATTTTAAGCATAGTTCTCAGGTAGAAAGAAACCAGCTGTATAATTGGATCAGCTTTCCCAACATGGCAACATCAATGCATTAGAGGAACTTTTCAGGCCAAGAAATTCATGTAGCTGTTTTGCAAAGACCTCACTGACATTCTTTAAAAACAATTTTGTGGATTCAGGATATGCATTTACTTCTTTTCATGAATATTTCTTCTGCCACATTCAAAATATGTTCTATACTGGCTTATCTTTGAAAATCCCTCAGAGACTGCAATTGATAAAAAGGAAGCTTCCTGTACACTAGGAAATGAGATGAGAAATCAGTCATATTTCACCTTAATTGGAAGAACCTCGCTGGCTTCCAATAGGTTTTGAGGTCCAATTCAAAGAACCCTAGGTAGTAATTTCCTAGGTATTGGCTGAACATATTCCTGACATAGAAATAACTGATGTAGTTTACTTGTTTCAATTGAATATCTTAAGGGTTTCTGACCTGAGGTATATGGGGGCTTCGAAGTGGTTGAGGTTATCCTCATTTAGGAATTGCCTTGTCGAGTGACTTTTTTGAAATTATGATGGGGATATAAAAAAGTAACTTTACCATCAAGCCTTGCATTTACTGCTTTCACTGCTCATAAGCCCAGATACAGTTTCATTTCATTTTGCTTAACGATTGAGTCCCCATTCCCGATTATGGTTGTTAACAAGGACTATACTTTCTTCTGGTGACACTATTTTACAGAATAATCTTCCTTTGGAGACCAGACTGGAATAAATACATTCTGTTACTCTTGAAAAGATGCTAAATAAAAATTATTCCAAAGAGCTCCGGAGAGTAGATATTGCCCAGTAGTACATTATTTAAAATTATTTACATTAATATGTTATTAGTAACTTATATTAGGACTTTTTAACTTTGATGTGTTCTTGGTTATGATTGTTCAGCTACAAACAAATAGGATAACTATGACTTGGATGACTGAGAATCTCCAAAGACATTTGGAGATAAATAGTTTAATAAAAACTGGATAAGAGACACTTACAATTTCTCAAGAATGCATACAGCCATATCTATTAATCCATTTTCCTATTCATACTTTCTTACATAATTACCAGCCCTTTCTTTCAAATAGTCATCATTTCACTTAACATTGATCAGCCCAAAGCTTCTTATTAAAGGTTTTTAAATAAGTGTTCCTGGGATATGTTTTCGTTTTTAAAAATCATAATGCTATGCGTGCACTGAGGTTTGTTTCCATTAGAGTACAGCCATAATCACTTTTCTTCAATTGACAGAGGTTGTTTTCATACGTCTGACAGGAGAATTATTTTGAGCTCTATCGTTCCTTTCATTGTAATATATCTCCCACAAATACACATAGGAAAAATATAGTTAGTGTAAGCTAAGAAGGAAATGGAAAATACCCAGTGTTACTTGGAGAAGATAAGCTGGATTTTTTACCACAGTCAATTAACAATGAGAAAACAGAAAAGTTTAAAATCCTTGGGAAAGTGCTGAGACCTTAAAACAATAGGATTTTCATGATAATATTTAAGAATTCACTTAAAGCTCCAGAAAATCTCTTACAAAGAGGTGAAAACTGCTATGAAACTGTTTTAGTGATCCCAAAAGACCCTAGAAAATGTAATCCCTAGGTTATAATATATAAAGAATTAATATAAAATTCTATCTCAATTCAGAATACATTGAATGTGCTAAGTGATATTTAAACATTTACTACATGTATAGTGAAGACCTACCATTAGGATGTGTACATTGTCAAGTGGCATTAGAGACATATGGTACATCAATAGTGGGTGTATTTCCTGACTGTAAAGACTATGATGAGATCAAAAAGTTTATCTTCTAAGATACTTTGATATGCAGCTATAATGAAATACTTTTTTTAAGGCAAGAGTAATCACGTTAACTGAGTTGGAGTCTCCTCTAAACCATAGAAAGACATGTAATATTAGTGGAAAGATTGAGTGGGAATGTAAAATAACCCTCTTTTCCCAAGATCAGTCAACAAAGAATGCTATCCATAGCATTGGAACTCCAAGAGAAAGACAAGAGGATAACAGGAAGGAGAGGAAAAGTGGCAGGTATGCAGCAAAATGTAGAAGATTTCAGAGCACGAAAGCATTGCAGAAAGCAAAATTTATTCTTAAATGCAAGCATCATGAAACATTGATGAAGCAAACCTGTGACATTTTCCCACTTTCTCCAAAAATGGTACCTGCATATTAAACATGTACAAAATCACTGGAGTGTTGATGGGTCTAGAATTAACACCATTTCTTGTGCCATACACAATAATGACATGTCTATCTAAACAACTATTTAATCCTTTCTTTTACCATAGTTATGGGCTGTAGTATTTCTTCTCTTGCCTTTCCAAAGTTGAAAGAGTGATAGTGATGGTAATTCAGAGGTGGGTTGCTCCTGGTTTTTGCAAACAGGTAGTGGTGGTGATGGGAGGCTCCGCCCACCCGCCTGGATGCTTCTGCGCATGCGTACTGCACACGAGCGAACCAGTAGTAAAAAAATGGGAAACTCACCACTGTGGTAATTATTTTTTAGTTGCAGTTTTTAATCTGTCTAATATCAAATGTTTCTATGTACACTTGTTTTACTCAGAAGCTTTCTTATACATGAGGGGTTTGGTGAATTGGGGGAAGTGTTTTTCTCATTTCATTAATTCCATAAATGAAAATACTTCTATAGTTTCACCATCACTGCCACACAGGGCTACCCGGTTATCTTAATGCACCAGTGACTTTTCAAAGAGAAGATCTTTAAGGGCAAATAATGTTGAAATATTTATCATTAACGTTCAGAGCATTTCTCATTACAAACTGTCTGTTAACAAAAGGTACCTAGGGAACTGGATCTATGTACATAATACATGTGTAATGGCATAATTGCCTCCTTTTTTTGAGTGGGTATAAGTATTAACAACCCTTGATAATTACATTCAGATTTTCCTCTACAATTGGGATTGGAATTCAAAAGCACTCCAAAACTCAGAAAGCATTTCTGACAACATGGGCAGAGATGACACAAAAGAATTGTGCTCCAAGCCTTTCTATTAAATCTGACCTTGAACTGAGACTAGACTCCTTTCAAAACATCTAAATTTGGATGTCGAACACTTGAAAATCAGGCCAGAGGGAATTTAGAAAATCTGTCCCATGTACACAAATACAATAATGAAAGCTTGGCTGCAATTTTAAGTTTATTTAGTAGGAAATACATTCAAAGGAAAACAAACGAGGCTGTGTAGATGATTTGAATGTAGACTGTTTATCAGTATGGGCAACAATAGAAGAAAAAATGGAAGATATATTCTGGGTTCTTGGATGGGGGAAAAGGGAATATTTTATAAAAATATTTAAAACACAAAAAAATTGTATGGCGCAATATACACTTGCCCACTTATCTAGTTAGAGGTTTCACAACCTATTTTTATATTTTATGTAATATTTGTTATCCTTATTTTTAAAAAAACAATAGAGTTCAAGATAGGAAACACTTATTTAAAAAAATTAAGTAGCTAACCAAGCAGAAGTAATAACAAAATAAATTAAACCAGAATAGACTGTAATTGTCTGCATTGTCACCAATCTTTATGGTAGAGGAGTAAAGTTAAGTATGAAATGTACAGTGATAATGAAGATGTACTGAAGTGTGAAATTCCTTCAGATGCCACCATGAAGA